CCCCCCATTCCCTTTTTCTGCACCCAGGGAAAAGTTTGAAGACTCTTATGTCCAAAGGAATCTTACAGGTACATCCACCAATCTGTGATTGCCCTGGGTGTCGAATTTCATCTCCAGTGGTAAGATGATGGTGAAAAACCCAAATGAACCCAGATTGTTTCTCTTGTCTTCGTGCAACACGCTTGCTGCATCTGTGTTTCTTTCATTTGGGTTGAGTCTGTAACTGAAAAGCGGGTGGGGGAAGAGAGTAAGCGAGCCCTGCTGTGTGGGGGTCCCCAAGGCTCTCCTTTGGGGTGGGAGAGAAAGGGCTGGCTTGGATTCCAAAGTAGGTCGTCATCTCCACTGCTTAGAATTGGGGAAGACGTTTTTGTCTGTTTTTAGCAGCTCTTCAGACTTTGTAATATAAAAACCGTGCAGTCGGAGGTTATGACAGGGCAGCCGCATTTGCAAGAGGGGAGGAGGCATCCTCTTGCCTTTCTCTTTTTCCTTCGAATTTTGCATGTTTTGGGGAAAGGAAGCTATTCCTGTTTGCAGTGTGTTGAGTCGGGCCCAACGCGATTCAAGTCTAGTTTTTGCTGGTCAACAGAAATGTGCTTTTGGGAAGAAGGTTTGCACACCAGGCTCCTGATGCCTTACCATTTCCTAAGGATGTTGTATTTTGGAGTGGGAGGATGGAAGTGGATCCTGCAGGGAGGAACAGCTGTATGCTAGAGATGGGGACGGTGAAAAGCGGAGGGGAAATTGGGTTTGACTGACTGCAGCTGAGGTGGCTGGCGTTGTGTGTGGATGGTAGGGCTTGCATTTCAGCGTGCGGCTACTCACAGATTGGCCTGACCACTTTCTGAAGCATAGCATCACAAGTTCTGCAATTAAAATCAGATGCTGGTCTTCGTATTTGCTGGGGGGGGGGATTTTGGCATTTTGGAATATCCACAGGGGAGCAGAATTGCGTACATAACTTGTAAGGCTGGTGAAAAACAGATGTCTGGCATTGCTTATTTTTAAAGCACATCTGGGAAAAGAAACAAGGAACAGATTTAAAAAAATAGGAACTGGATTGGGGATGGATTAACTCTAAGAGAGATTCGTCACAGACTCGTGCGTGTGTCTGTGTAAAGCACTGGTAATGACATTTGAATCAATTTCATTCTGGATTAAATTCTTGGCGTAGATGACTAGAAAATAAACCTCTGTTTCCTAATAGAAGAGGCTGTACATCGCTGAAATAAAGGAAGCTTGAGGGTAGCTGAGGGTAGATTTTTATGTCAGAAGGTGAACTCTCTGCCATTCCTGTGCTCAAATTCCTGGGCTGAAAGTACTTTTAATTCCAAGTGTTTGTCTTACACGCCAGACTTCAAGATTCAAGTTAAAAACCAACTAACTGAATTCTACAAGCTTGCAATTTGTCCCCCTTCCCCCTGTGGTCAGAGCGGATGAGTTTTTTAACCAGTGGCTGGAATTTTACAACACATGAAGCTAAGACATGGTTGAGGGTTTTTGTGACTTTAAAATATGGTGTGACCCCAGCCTTGCGGGTTATAAATTAATAAGTTTATGACTTAGTCTAATGTGTGAATGCAGCCAATGGTGTAAAACACGACGAAGCAAACTGGAGTCCACATGCTGTGTGAACATAACAAGGATCTTCAGTGGGCATTTTTCTGGCGGATCAGGACTGGCCAGCAAATATATACTTGTGGATAAGCTGCACCCCAAAAAATTGGGTTTGGCTTATCCCTGGATGGCTTTAGCCACAAGTATGTACGGTAATACTTTTTAAAAGTACCTATATTTCCCGTATATACTCGCGGATAAGCCTATCTGCAGGTAAGCAGACCCTCACATTTTTAACCCAAAATATCATAAAAAATGCGGGTCAGCTTATCCACAGATGGACTTATCTGCGAGTATATATGGTATAGAGATCTCTAATTTTCTGTGGATGGTCATTTCAAGATTTTTAAAACCATGGTTTGCCCATCATGCAGAGCCAAAAGTGAATTAAATTTTAGGTGATGTCTGTGTAAACCCAGCCAACATCTGTTCTCACAACTTTGGGGCAAAGCTTACAAGAGAAACGTAGCCATTGTGTGACTTCTCGGTGGGTGGGGGCAAAATTGCAGATCACTTACATGGATTGAGACATGTTGTCCTGGTGCCTCATTATCTGTTGTGTGTATGAACATGCCTTGAAAATGAGAATCAGGAGCGATACCTCTGAAGTTGGAAGATCAAACAGAGAATCTTAAGAGCTGTGCCATCTCTAATTAAAAAGAGAAATTTACAAGGATTTGCTTGTCTTCTTTTCTCATAATGTTTGGACTTTTGTTCCACCCCAGCTCCCTGGGGAGAGAACTGGGAAGGTGTTTTTCATGTAGATAATTATTTTAAATTATTAGTCAAGAATAGTTTAAAAACAGCCACATTCTGCCTAAAGCCTGAACGTTTGGATAGTAAACTAAGGCTAACTTTACGTGGCTTAGTGCAATATGTGAAGCCTGACTACATTTCTATACAGTTGGGGCATGAACTATGCACCCCCCCGAAGCACAGCCAACTTTTCTAGTTTCCATGTACCTCTTTGTCCCAATAGATCCTGCAGAAAGTAAGAATAAAAAAATGTCCTTTACCTTTCTTATGGGACTAACCCAAGCAGTCTATAAATATCTCCCTATTCATCATCTTAGGCCCAAAGGAAAACCAGATCTGTTAAAAGGAAACAAATTCCCTACCACTTCCTTGCCTTGTCGCCTGGAGTTAATCTTAACTCGCCGCAGGTGACTAGATGACTGCATACTTTCAGGCTGTAGCGTGTGTGTACATGCAGGATCTCCAGCCCACACTCAGAAGCGTGCACAGGAAGGGGTTTTCCCAAAGAGCTTCGCCCTCGGCTGCAGTTTGAACATAGCTCTTCTGCCTACTGCTGGGCGTCTCTCACATTTTGTTTTGGGTGACGTCTTTCTGCTCTTTGCTATTTAACCGCTTGGGTGGTTTTACAGCAGACTTTTTCGAAAGGGAGGAAACGTTTAGCGTCTCAAGTCCTCTTCCCAAAGCACGCTCCCTCCTCAACAGGTCTGCTTCCTGTATCTTTCAAATGCTAGCATTTTAGGCCGGAGAACGATAGGCAGGTTTTTAGTTGTGGGGTATAATCTCCAAGCCAAGGAAATATCCATGTTTTGGTGCACCTTGTCTGCTTTGCGAATCATCCCACTGAAAGGATTGTTCTTCAGGCAGCAGGAAAAACAGGTGGACGTTAGGACGCGTTCGTGTGTTTCTCTGCTGAATAGATCACCTCTGGATTGCTATAAAATCAAAGAACGGCGAGCATGAAGTTTAAATTGGGGGCTTCCGACTGTTAGTGGTCAAATGTGGTCAGAGAGTCCAGAGCAAAATACGATGGCATTTGATTAACTACAGTGAGTGTGTTTCTTCCACCTTGGGGCAGTGGTTACTCTTAAAAGTAATACAAGTAACCTTTTACAGATTATGGATTTGTGGCCTCACTTGTCTTACTCTCTTTTACAGAGGGGTGCAGAGAGATCCAGGGACACCCTGGCTGTCTAATCTATTTCTTTCCTCATTTCTGGCCTGCAAAATTAAGTGTGTGTTTTCTGTCTAGTTTGCAGAGCAAAGTGTCACCGGTAAAGCACTGCCTGTTTGCGGCTCTCAGAGCAGGTTCTGAAAATGCCCTTGTGTGTTTCAAGCAACAAGATGATCTTTGGTGGGGGGAAGAGGGGCATTTCTCTCCCCCCCCATTTGGCTTTCAAGGAGCATGGATGTGGCACCCTCCAACAGTTCTGTGTGCGTGTGGGTTTAAAATACAACAGGTGTGTCAAGTCTATTAGAAGTTTTATAAACCTCCTTTACTTGTTGTTTCTTGGAAAAAAATGAGTGATGATACCCTGGGGAGGCTATCAACATTTAAAAAGCGAGTAAGAGTTATCTGCAGTTGTCACCATCTGCTTATGGCATCTCTGTCATAGCAATGAAAAGCTTAGGGGGTAGTGTTTTTCGCAATGGGTTTGCAATAGAGTGGGGCAGTTTGAAAGAAAGGGGTCTTGCGTTCAGATGTACCCTTTCTAAGGGGTGAATTCAGATCTGAGAGTTTGGGGATGGCCCATCTCTTGCATGTTCAATATTTATTAATAACATAAATAGATGATGGGTGACTTGTCCATCTTTCTGGAAAAAATGAATCCTCCGGTTTTCTATTACATGCACGCCTGAGGAAGCTTATCAGACAAAAACATGTCAATTGCAGCAAAAACTGGATAATACCATGTGCATAGTATCAGTCATGATCTTTTTCACAGGGTTCACATTAGTGTTTATATATTATTAGACTTTTGTCCTATCTACCTACCTATTTATCATCTATCAATTTATTTATCTATCTACTATGAGACTTGTTTGATTTTCCTAAGTACCACATAACGATGTGGGGGGGGGTGGGAGAGAAGAGAACTAACCAGGCCAAACTGGTTTAGATTCAGGATGCCTTACCCAGCAGTAGCAACCCTGCCAGCTGAAGTGCTGAAAGGATGACCAGGGCAAAATCACCCAGCGAATTTCCAGGGTTGATGGTGCCTTAATCCTTCCCCAGTTGTAGTTCAGCCCCAAAACGTAGCTCTGACTTGCCTCTTGGCTTCTGTACGTTGGAGATCTGGACAGGTTGCAGATTTGACTTGTTTTATTTAGAGCTTGGAACGTCCCACTGGATGTCGTTTTTGTTTAAACAACTTCCACCCCAGTTGGCAAACAGCTTCTTTAAGATCTGCTGCAATGACAACAGGGCCTGTGTTTGCACAGTGCCTTAACCCGCGGTTTATTTGCCTGCGCACTGTTCATTTAACTGCTGTTCCAGGTTCACACAACATCCTGAACCCTGAACTAACCACAAGGGTTGGCCACGCCTCACAACCCAGCCAACCACGCGTAGGCTGTGCAAATGCCCTGGCAAGGGTTCTTTGCCGGCCCTGTGGTTTGCAAACCGTGGTTGCTGTTATGTGGGAAGCCATCCCGTAGCGCGTGGGCCCAGTGGGAAAATCCCACGCTGGAAATCACACCTTCAGGGGGAGAAGAGTCTTGCTAAATAGGAACTGCAGACGGTGACTGTTCC